GTATGAGGTGAAGAAGAGATGAGGAGTGTTGCTGTGTTAGAGGTAGATTGATGGGCAGCATTTTATTTAACAGATTGAAGTGGGTGAAAGGTCAGTGCTGAGTGCCATGCTTCCATTTCCTTGATTGGTGTGTGTGTGTGTGTGCATGTGTGTGTGAGAAAGCAGATGTTTGGGTTGAATCTTAGTAGGTGTGTTGTATCTGCAGCTGCATCAAACCTTCCTTTTCATGTCGGCGTCGGCAGGCCCGTACCTGCTCACCTGCTATCGCTTCATCTTTCCACAGCTTAGCGAGTGGTATGCAGCTCACCTGCAGAGAAAACACTCCCACACTCTGACTGGGCCAGCACACACACCATTTGTCCGCATGTGTGTGCGTGTTTCTGTGTGTGTTTTATTAGCACAAGGGAGGGCACAGTTACAGAGTAAAGAGGTAATGCAGTCGGTACATATTGGCACACAGGACTGCACGTTGGTGCAGGCAAACACACAAATATATTTACACTTCTCACAGCAAGTGTTGCCCGTCTGCAAACAGGCGGGTTGACTCACTTGTAGTCTCCCACTCTTTCATGCACACACACACACACACACACACACACACAATCTGGCCAGATACATGGCAAACAGTTGTCATGCTGACCAAAAACACAGCAGTGCGGATGTTGTTGGTGGAAGGTTACAGTGACCCCAGCTGCTGTCTGTGCTGCGTGGATCGGTCAGCTCTCTGTGACATAGAGAGCTGACCTGGAGCCGCTCTGCTTCTCCTGCCTCCTCAGTCCGCTGTCCCTGCATCCAAGACTGGCTTTCCGGTGACCCCAGGATGGGAAGAAGAAAAAAGTGATGATAACTTTTTTGCGCATTGATAAATATGTTGTTTTTTTTGGAGGTATCAAGGTTAATAATGACAAGGCGCTGAATTCATTAAAGTACCTGAGTCTAACTCTGACATATGAACCATTCAGGAATCAACAGACCCTTAAACTCAAGGGATGGACCAGTGCTGCACATGGACTTACTAAAGACGGCAGCATTCCTCTCAGATTCAGCCTTTTTCGTTTAGAGATGCACCGATCACAGGTTTTGGTTTCTTATTTACCTGTGTTTACCTCAGAAGGACAGAAATCCTTTTCTCATCAGCTGGATATTCCTGGTCAGCACTGAATGGTCCTGAGTAAGGAGAGTTGATCATTAGATCTGATAGTTTTCATTTATAGTTTGTTGAACAGAAGTTGACTTTTTTCCCCACATGCATCCTGTCAGGCAGCCAGTCAGACGGAGAGCCGTGCCCTGTTTCTAGACCTGAGCCCATCAGGGGCATTCTGAAGCTAATGGGCTGTGACTCCAGAAATGTGTGCTGGTGGCGAGGGCATGGCCGCCGGCCCGCATGCGCCTGTGTGGCCGCCTCGGAGTTAACACATCCACCAAACACTCCCTGATTGATGGGAACAGCAGCGCTCCAGCGTTCCGGCCCCTTCAGACGGAAGCTGGAAGCGGCCCCAGCCCCACATGTGCCTCTGCAAGTACGCGCTAGCTTCTTTGGTTTGCTGTGGCAACAACAACAAGCTGCAAGTCCTTTCAAGGTTTATTAATGTGTTTTGCTCTCAGCCTTCAAACCGGTTCTTTATTAATCTTTTATCACCTGCAAATAAGACTTGGCTGTTGGGTAATTACAGGGTTCCTGAAGGGAGACTCACTGTGAAGATGCAGAATCACACAGAGAGTTGAGGAATGTTTGGATATGTTCTTGGGATTTTTGGGGGGGATTCTACTGTGAGATGGAACAAAACTGTTTCCTTTAAGAAGAAACAAGCCGCCCGCTTCTCCTCTGCTTCCCTCTCAACATGTTTGCAGTGCAGCCGGCTCCCCTCAGGCACACACTTAATGCATAACCAATTATTTTAATTAAGACGGATTCCAGCGAGGAACAAAGTGCTATCCCATCAAGCAACACACACACACACACACACTCTCACACGCACAGAAATGGCAGCTTGGTATCGTCTGTTTTCTCTTCCTGCTGTATCGCTCTTTCATCCCTTCTCTTTGAGCCGATGTCATCCAGAGCACGTTGCTTGAGTCAGATGCTGAACAGTCGCAGTCGCCGCAGAAAGCATGGCGGCTGCAGGACCGATCCGAAGAGCTTGACCCCACCTGCTCTCTGAATGACCCCAGACTCATTCAGCCCCTTGCGTTTTTTTTTTTTTCCATTAGTTTTTACAACTGCTTGTCTCTGTCGTGTCTCTGCACCCCGTCTCTACATCCCCAGCCCCCACTCCTAACACCCTCGCCGCAGAATGCAACGGAACAACAAACCCAAATAGTGGCTATAAACTTCAGACTTTTTTATGGCAGGGGTCTGGTTGCTCACCTCTGGGTGAACTCCTCTAACAGACACCTCTGTGCTCTCCTATTGGAGCAGAAACACAAGCCAACCCCAACTTCACCCTGTCCCTGTCCTCTGGGTGACTGCAGCAGGACAGACGTGTCCTTTATTCCCCCTGGTGTACCAGCAGGTTTCGACCAATCTGTTCTGTAGGAACTGGTTCTGGTCCCAGCTTTCTGTCACCTGGAGGAACGTCAGAATTTGTTTACTTCAGAACATCTGCAGCGCAGACATGTTAGGAGATGAATATTCAGCTCAGGAGCAGCTTTAACCTCTGAACCATGGCCTGCCTCATGGCCTTTAAATAAGACTCCTGAAAAGTCTCTAGCTCTCCAGGTCTGAAAAAATATAGAAAAATGTTTTCTGAGATTCTTTTCCTTTTTCCATTTTCTAATGGACAACAATCTTGTTTGTTCAGGCTAAATCAGACCTGAGCTTTTTAGGCTGGGTCAGAGTACTGAAGCTTTATTTCTACTGAAGTAGTAAATGTACCAGTGTTCTCGAAGCAGTACTTTGAGAACACTGCTTTCAGAAGTGTTCTCGCAGTGTCAACATTTATCTGCATTTAGTGTGCAATTCTTCAGCCCATGAAATTTGTTTTAGCCTAGAAATTTGGCGTTCTTATTGATTAAGAAAGCCAATAAAGATGGAGGCCAGTTGATGGATCAGCTGGACATTTTACTACTTCACCATTTTGTTCACGTCTGTCTCACTGCTATCAGCTCCAGGTTGCAAGTAAAAGATTTACTTGAAGGTGTTGATCGATCCTGTCCTGTGGTCTTTAGAAGGCTGAGATGGTTGGACCATGTGACCCAACACATGCAGGCTTTCTAGCTATTTCATAGTGTCACCGAGGTTTTCTTAAAAAGGAAATATATAGAATACTTTAAAATTAGAAGGAACTAAAGTACATAACAATGATCAGACAAACTAAGGATTATTGATAAAAAAGTTTTTCTGCACATGAGTCAAAAATCTCTAAGTGTTTGAAGATGATTTGGCTTTCTGAAAGGATACCACAGAGAAACCATGGTTCAAAGCGTGGGAAACAAGGAAGGGCTTATAGTCCGAAAAATAAGGTACTTGAATGATTTGAATTATTTAGCACTATGAACTGAAGAGCCAACAGGAATCTCATAATTCACCAGATTTGAACTGAGCAGGAAGGTTATGGAGGTGAAATTATGATGTTACTGACATGGAAAACAGTCTGTCGAGATGCTCTAGACTTCCATCTCATAGTCAGGCTGAATAAGATCTCGGTTTGATCGTCATCCTCCATCACAGCGCTCTGATGTCATTCAGCTGTAGGGTTTGTGGTTTGAAATGGGCTGCTATGGTTGGTAGTTAAGATTTAACTACATCGCTTGCTTGTGTCTGTTAGTTAAGATATGATTATTCAGCATTTGGTTTTTATTTTCCATACAGAGCTGCTAAAAGGTTCTGTGCTTCAGCTGACAAACAGCTGGTTGGTTTGGTTGGATGGAAAGTTCCTTGTTAAGATGTTAATCTGCTCAACAGGCCATCTGCCGCTGTTTGTGGGATTAAATGTGACCATGCAGCACGTGAGTCAGACATTCACATGAATGCACACAGATGATTCAGTGCAGCAGTGCTGAGCAGAGTGAGATTAGGGAATGCGTCTTCAACCTGCCGACCGGTTGGCCCCACCGGTCTCCGCCTGCCGCCCACAACTAAAGAGCCATGATTACTATTTTATTACAGCATGTCAGTATTCTGATGCTATCAATAGAAATTAATTGACCGACAATTGATTTACAATAGCACTCCCCTCCTCAGCGCGGGTCCTGGGAGAGCCTCCAGCGCTCATTGATTGGTTCCTCCTGAATGGCCCTAATGAGGCCTCCACCTTTCACAGCCTGCGCCGCAGAGACATCACTGCTGGGTTTTGAAGGGATCTATCTGCTTTCTCTCAGACCTGGCCTCTTACCTTGTTGACAACGGTCAGCCGTGCAACACCGGCGTTCAAAGTAAAATGTGGAGAGGTTCTCTGGAGGAAATGGACACGGATGATTTTGGGCTTCTGATCTCGTTTTCGTTCCAGACTTTGACCAATATCACTTGCTTCAAGAAGATATGAAAACAGTATTGAAGAGATTCGTCCAGTCTCCCTGGTGTGAGAGCTCTTTGACATCAACATCACAGGGCACCCAGTCAGCAGTCCTAAAGCAGCGGTTTAACCCTGAAGCTTCCAGAAGGCTGCACACTTCCTGGAATCTGCTAAAAGCCTCGGGACCTTGATTAACCTCTGAAATGTTTCTTTCAGAATATCTGGCTATATTACTGCACTTCCTCTGATTGCAATTCATCACTTCACTGATTGTGGAAACGGTAAACCTTGACTGGTCTTGACTCGGTAACAGCTGTCACATGGAAGAGTGTTACGTTGAGTCTGGACTTGGTCCTCAGTTTCTCTCTGCTTTGCTCCCACCCACTAAGCCTTTCTGTTCCCTTTAGCACACCTCTATTTTTACCCTCCAAACCCAAACACAGCAGTGGAGCATAGCTGGCCCGTTTCCAGGAGTTTGTGCCTCTGCTGATAAAATGGTTGAAGAGACTGATTGGAAGAGGACCGGCTCCCAGCTGGCCACGGGGCATGCAGAACATCATTAGTGCCAAGTGTCTGAAAGCTGTCGAAAACATTCCCGTCACAGCGCAACTGGAGTGCTCCCTAACAACCCCGAGCATTATGCTGCTGCTCCCTGAGCAGGCCGCCAGGCTGAGCCCCACAGCAGCCGGCTCGTCTTCGCTCGCCTCCGTCGCTCGGGTCTCCAGGCCTGAAAGCGAGCAGCTCACCTCTGGGAGAAAGAGGAAGCATGTGACAGCTGTCAGACCCTTCCCAGACTTTTATTATCGTCGTGAATCCAGCGGCAGACAAAGCTCACTCTGCTCTCCACAGTGCTCCCCTGTGGGTCGAGTCTTTAAAGTGTTAGCGCCGACTCCCGGCTGCCAGCTAATGATGGTAATATCTGTGGTTTCCTGTTGCAGCGTTACGGGAACATGGTGTTGTCTGTTGTCTGTCTTCTAGATGCACAGTTCAGCCTGTGGAGGACATGACCTAATGTCTCTCACTGAAGCACTTCTCTTTTTCTCACAAAGCAGCTGCTGACTTCCTGTCTGGTGTGCTTGTTGAAAGGAGCCAGTGGCATGGCATTAAATGCGACTTGCTGTTAGAAAGGCTCTGACGCAAATTCTGCCTTTCTGGAAAAAAGAAAAGAAAAGAAGAATGCATTCAAGTACAGCACTAGTGGTACCACTGCTGCAACCGACTGCATTCTGCTGCACCTGCTAAATGGGACAGGAAGTGGGAGGACGGTCTGATTCGAGGCAATTTAAACACTGATCTTCCCCCTGGAGCCCATCCCCATTTCCCACCATCTTTAGCCCTCCACCATGATGAGAGGAGGGCTAACCGTCTACAGCGAGATGGATTCTCTGGTTTATTTGTTCTGCATGTAGTTTAAAGTGGCCAGGAAAACATTGTGGTCTATTTTTGAAGATTTATTCAAACTAAGGCAGTGTAAAACATATACTGTGTATGAGTAATAATGCTGGTGTGTCCAGAATGAATATCACCAAAATCTACATGGACAGCAATATGTGTTGGCTGCAATAGTGGTGACATGAATCCACACTCTGTATGCAGGTGTTTGTCAGACATTCTGGGTGGTTCATGTTAAAGGTCACAAAGAGAAATGCTACCAGGATAAATGGGTTTGGAAAGTTTACGTACACAGAAGGCAAAATTTTACAATCCCAGCGCTAATCCCCCACAATCCCACCAAAAACTAAGTCTGTACAACATAATATCTGACCCACTGATTGGCAGTTCTGAAACAGTATATACTCCCCTAATTGCAGACGGTGTCTCTTTTATTTAGTCTTTATCTTTGAAAGGTGCCAAAGTTTGCACCAAGGATATAAAGATTTGTTTTTGGTCTTTTTATATTTCTTTTTCCATGTTCTTAAAAAAACCCCTTATTTATTATCAAAATGAGGATTTTTGAGAAGGTTTTTATTTATTTATTTATTTATTTATTTGACATTAAGAAAACAATGTCGATTTTCATTCTGTTCTCCTGTAATTCTTGAAGGTTTTAGTTTAAAACAAACCTCTTCTATTTATCCGAAGCAGTTCTATGGCGCTTCATGACATCCTCAACTTTTTTAAATACCTTTTTGAAATCAAAACATCTTCAAATCTTAGTTAATAAGATTAGATTGACAATAATAGTGATTTGATATTGTTACACGGACATCGCCTGATGATGACGGTGGCTCCATTGGAGCTGGACTCCTCTGTCCTGTCGTCGTGTCTCCGTCCTGCAGAGAGTCCTGTTCTTCTCCGTCTCTCCTCATAATCACCGCTGTTTGCTCCTCAGCAGCCACGGCTCTGGGAGAGTCTGTTTCTCCATGGCAGATGATGGACTCAGCTTGCTGCTCCCTCTGACCCCACATGTCTGCACATGCATTAGCGCAACCACACTCGACCCACTTAACACGCCGCTGCAACAAACACGGCCGTCAATAGGAACAGCCGCCTTTTTATGCAGCATATAGTGAGCTGCTGTCCCACTTGTGAGGGGCCCAGTGTGCTGAGCGCTGGTATAAAATGCGGGCAGAGCCTGGTTAGGATGGTGTGGTGTCAAGCTGACGTTTGACCTCATCTTACCACAGAGACAGGAAGGAGAGAGAAAGAGTGCAGCCTGCGGCCATCGGAGCGCTGCGCGCTCAAAGAGCGGCTGTGTGTGAGGTGAAAGGTGGATGGCTGGCTGGAGAGGAACGCTTTATCCGCACCTTGTCTTACTGGTTCATGTTTAAATACACGCTGGAGATTAATATCAAATATTTTTGAAAAGATGACCCAGAATTCACACCATCGCTATCAGGTTGAGGTTGAATGCAGTGATCTGGACGACGTTAACCTGCTGAGCAACATTTCTCCCCTCAGCCATAAATTCTGGGAAAGAAGGTTTAGTTCTCAGGCTGATAGGAAGGACAGCAGCTTGTTGCTGTGTTTTTTTTTTTTTTTTTTTTTTTTTTTATTGTTGAGATATCACGAGCCTCTCCAGTCCCAGAAACAATCTTTGTAGCTTGTTGTCTCTGTTTATCCTGGTTTGTAAAGACAAGATTTGGGCCTGGCCACTGCGTCCTGTCAGTGCCGACCTGTTCTGGCGTTAATGGCCCGGTCGGGTCGCCGCCTGCTGGGCAGACCCGCTTCAAGCCACAGCATTTCCTCCTGCTCCATCTGCAGTCAGCGTGGCTGCTGCTCTGACAGGAAGAGCAGACGTTTGCACAGAGCACCAAAACATTTCCACACACCAAATTAGAAATACTACTGTATGCGTTTCCCATTAGAGTGTTTGCTGTAAACAGAGAGGCTCCTGACTGAACTGGATCCTCACACACATTCATTCATTCTGGTGGAGTGAGCTCCACCTGAGGGAGGGAGGCTCATTTGAACGCCATCGTCTACCCAGACTCTCACCTTCCCTTCGCTGTCCCGCACACCGGCGCAGGCCTGTTTATGCGATCACTCATATTTGTTTCCACCTACTAAGTCACAGAGGAGCGCTCCATCATGAGCCTTTTACTGATGTGGTCACTCCGCGCTGAAAGGGTCAGCTGGGCTGCAGATCAGACCCTTCTGGTCCCAGCTCTGTCCCGCTTACATTGCAAACCTTGCATATTTTCTTCAATTTATTACATTAAAAACAATAACAAAAATATCAAATCAACTGTACAATAAATAATCTTACTGTTCACACATTGCTGGACTTTGTTGCTCTTAATAACCATTAACACTTCTTTCTGTTTTTAAATAACCTTCATTTATGCAAATAGTATTGTGGTAAATGAAGTTTCATTTTTAAAGATACAGTTCAGGATTTTTGGGGTTTCTGTGCAAAAGTTAGAAAAGTTAACATTGCTTCTCCAGTAAATAACTCTGTTGGTTTATACAGATGATGATGAAAATGCACCACTACTGATCTTCCAGTAAGAAACTTGAGTAGACAGAGTAGTTGCCTAGGAACTAAACAGTAACTACCTCGCTAAAAAAAAAAAAAAAAAAAAAAATCATTTCACATTCACTTAAACTGACCACAGATCATCTGAGTATTAGACTGTGACAATGAAATGCTTCACACATTCTATTTCCAGTGTATGTGGCAGAGCGCAGTCCTCTAGTAAAATAACTGCACAATGCAACCTGACTGACAGAAGTCCCTCAGTCTGACGGACTAACTAGTGTTAGCTCGACTGATGTAGATTTGTACAAAAGAAACCAAAACCTGCCTTATCAAAAATATTTACTGTTCAAAAATTAAAGCAGAATGTTTTTCCAAACATTAGGACCTATCCCTCTAAAAGAGAGACCTGAAACAAATTTGCATAGTGTATGATTAATACCAGACTAAATAAAAGTACAAGTTTCTTTTTTTATCAACACGTTCCAGTCTTACTTGTATGCCTTTTTTCAGAGTATGAAAATCACATTTTATAATCCTGACATAGTTTATGTGCATTGGTGTTAACAGATCAGTTCAAATCCAGTCTTTGCTATGGCTGTGAGAAGAACTGTGGGATTTGGTTGAACTGTATAATAAGGACGATGCCAAACACCCGACCTGACTCCAGGTCGCAGTAGAGTACCATCAGCCTGGTTCGCCTTGTCTAGCTGCTCCGCATTTAAACCCATCGCTGAAGATAAGGACTAGCAACCCTCACAACCCCACTAGAGATACGTGCTTG